CCCCCAGGGTTCCAGCTGTACACACTACTGTACCCTGATGTTGTGCGAGACCACCAGACCAACGTCCGCCTCCGAGACTTTATGGGCGAAGACGGGTGGGTGCTCAACCGTTCTCTCCTTACCCTTCCTTTGGTTCCAAAAACGAGTTATTTCTGGCAATCCAGAAATTGAGATATCGGCTGAAAATTAACAGTGTAGGACAAATTTGAAGATCATATTCAATGACGCCATTTTCCTCGTACTTAAATGACATTTTTATCAGTTCATTCTAATAAATTATATAAACTCAAGCTATAGATTGAACGTATCTATGTCCGTGAGGGGGGGGGAGAGAGAGAGAGAGAGAGAGAGAGAGAGAGAGAGAGAGAGAGAGAGAGAGAGAGAGAGAGATCTCATCCGCAATGGGCACCTGGTATAAAACACTAACATACTGTACACCATCTACAGCCACGTGTGGGCTGAACAGCTGATCAGTCGGATAGCGGAGCCCGCCTGGACCAAACGCATGCAGCAGCAGTTGGTCAGAGGCCAGAGTACAGAGGCCAGTTACAACCGAGATATGAACGCCCTCTTCCTCAAGCTCCATCTACTGGACCCTCAGTCCGTCATCCCAGCCTACCAGATGCTTCTCAACCAACGAGGTACGGCCTCCAAAATTGCGTTTATTGGAAGTTAACCAATCATAGTGGGTGGTTCGGGGTACCTTGGTGAGGATATCTCCTCCTTTTTCGTGTGTGTTTGTTTGTTACTCTCTTGTAACACCTTTAACCATTGTGTTTCTAATCATCAACTATAATTACTTGTGTCCTCTTCACAGCCTTACCGAGAGTGAACCTGGTAGGACTGGTAGATCCTACTTCTTCCTTTTCCCTCTGTTGTTTCTGTCTGTCTGTCTGTCTTACTTTTTCCAGCGCAAAATGAGCGTAACTGCGCTTCTAATCATCATTATTATTTGTGTCCTCCTCACAGCCTTGCCGAGTGTGAACCTCGAGCTGGCCACGCGGAACTACCTGGGCGGGCCCCTGGACAGTGGTCAGTTTGAAGCGGCCGTGTCGACGTCTGAGTCTCGCGCGACCACGCCCTTGCACGCGTCACGGCTCAGCCTGACCTCTGACCTGGAGGTCCAGTACGGCGTGGCGGTGGACGAGTTCATCATCACTCACTGTCGGAACCTGGGCTTGTGGGCGGGGATACGGCCAGACAACTGTCGCCTGGTCAAAGCGAAGGACAGATGTCGGCTCATGTAGGGAAAACTGGGTCGATAGTGCCGTAAAACACATACATACTCAATCTATCAATCACGTAGGAGGGGGA